TGCTGCAAAAGAAGTGGAAAAGAAATATCAGACATTGTTCAGCTGGGTACTTTATTGATTGATGGATGGTACTTGAGCAGAAGCAGAAAATGTTACTTGGTTATTCCTTCTTTATTACATTACCCTCAAGTGGTCAAAAGTTAACAGCCATATATAGTATATATACATTACCTCCTGCTTCAGAGGACAGTGGGAGAGAGATTGTGGGTTCTCTGTTTCATCTGAAGATAACTAGGAATTAAGGATGGAACACCTGACTACTATCAGATGCTATGAAACTGGGCAAGCACAGCTATCTCCCCAGGGAATCCCATAATTAGCTACTAAGATGTATGTAACCAATCACTAATGGAAGGTTATCACAATGCAAGTCTAAGCTAACTTAAACCAGTGTCCTTCATACTCTGAGAATGTTCATGTGTCATACAATTTTAGTTATAATATAAGCATGTGGGCTTTTCTTTGTTTTATAGCTGATAGAGGCTCCAGTTGATTCATGTAGTTTGGAGAATTGGCGGTCCATATATGCTTTAAAAGAAAAGGCCAAACTAATTGAACTGGAGATGTTTAAAGACCACTGTGTTGTGTTTTTGAAATACTGCGGTCACCTCTACATAGATAATATCTCTCTAGTATCAAACTCCATTCACAGTGTTAAGGTAAATGTTTTATTTAAAATACATTTTTTACTTTTAAAAGATTGATAAACTTGAAAGCACAGGTGGGTTGTGGTAGTTCATTAGTTAGCCTGATACCTTTTGAGATGTACAAAATGTTCGTTCAGTTTATCAGGAATAATCCTGTTAATTATGTTGATATGGGCTACTGAGTTGGGCAGTGTAGAGTAAGAGTATGAATACTGCAAACTCATATTTGAGCTCCAGAACAAAGGTTCCTGCTACATGTGACTGAGATCCAGCATCTTAATGGATAGCCACATGTTACACATGTAACTGTGTTATTTATTTAAAATATTTCTGTGCTGACTTTCCATGCAAATAGATCCCTGAGGAGCGGACATTAAAACATTTCAACGTTAAAACAATATTGGTTCATATATAAAATAATTCAATAAGAATGAATAAATATGCAACACCAAACTGGGAAGGAGGACAAATAACAATTATTGAGGTTTTAAAATTTGTATTGGAATTTATGTTGTTGTAAACCACCCTGAGCCCCACATAAACAGGGAAGGGCGGTTAAGAAGTCGAAATAAATAAATAAATAAATAAAGGGGGGAAGTCTTCATCCACTGGCAGAAGAAATTTTTATTTATTTCTTCAGGGCAGGTAACAACATTTCATTTATACAAATACATGAGTTAATGCAATGAAATTAAATTTAAAGCATCGTCATAAATATTAAAATGGTGGTCACAACCAATAGCAAAGAGATTTTCTGGTTCTGGGAGGTTCTTGGCTATAGCCAGTAGTTGTTAACAAAGTGACAGATACCTCAAGGAGGCCATATATGGATGTCCGCTGCCTCAGCCAAAGGCCTGGCAGAACAGCTCCATCTTGCAGGCCCTGAGGAATTGAAGTAGATCCTGCAGGGCCCTGATCTCAATGGGGAGCATGTTGGCAGGGGCCAGGGCGGAAAAGGTCCTGGCCCTGATTGAGGCAAAACGGACGTCTTTCAGGCCAGGGGCTACCAGGAGGTGTTGATCCATAGAGCGTAGTGCTCTTTGGGGCATATATGGGAAGAGGCAGTCCCTCAGATATATTGGTCCCAGGCCATCTAAGGCTTTAAAGGTTACTACCAACACCTTGAAACGGATCCAGAACTCTACTGATAACCAATGCAATTGGTGGAGTACCTGCCAAACGTGAGCCCACATAGGCGACACCATTGGCATGCGCACCACTGCATTTTGCACCAGCTGTAACTTCTAGGCCAGCCTCAAGGGTAAGCCTGCGGAGAGTGAATTAGAGTAGTCAAGCCTGGAAGCGACCATTGCATGGGTCACTGTAGCCAGGTCGGGGGGGGGGGGGGATAGGGTTTCGGCAACCTAATCTGCCAAAGATGGGAAAAGGCAGATTGGGCTGCTGCAGTAACCTGAGCCTCCATAGAGAGGCATCCAGTGTCACTCCCAGGCTCCTCACCTTCTGGGCTGGCACATGAGGTGCCCCTTCCAGTGTGGGGAGCCTGATATCCATATCCCCTCCCTTCCAACTTAGGTACAGGACCTCTATCTTTGATGGATTTAGCTTCAACCGACTCTGCCGCGACCATCCAGCTACAGCCTCCAAAGCCTCAGTCAGATTATCAGGGGTGGAGAATGGATGGGCGTAGAGGGTGCCGGGGGGCAATCTCATAGATGGCTTCGGAGAGCCAGTGATACATGGAGACAGACGAATCTCCCTGGTGAGGGAGTTCCAAAGCTTTGGGACCCCATACGGAAACGCCCTTTCTCAGGTTGCCACCTGTTCAGCCTCAAATGGTGGGGGGACCCAAGGCTGGGCCTCCAAAGATAATTGGAGTGGATAGGCAGGTTCATATAGGAGGGTAGTCCTTAAGGTATGCTAGCCCCGAGCCGTATAGGGATTTAAAGATTAGTATCAGCAGCTTGACTTGAACCTGGGAGCTAGGGTGGGTGGAACAAGTCTGGGGTCATATGGTCCCTATGACCCACTCCAGTTAACATACTAGCTACATAATTCTGTTCCAACCATAGCTTCTGGACAGCCCTCAAGGGCAGAACTGCGTAGAGTGCTTGGCAGTAATTTAGTCACAGGCATGCACCACAGGGGCATGATCATTCCTGTTCAGGAAGAGCCACAACTGGCCCACCAGCTAAAGCTGGTGAATGACACTTGTTCACCAAACAGCAGGCCTAGGACCAACAGCACCCCAAATTATAAATCTGCTCCTTTAGAGGGATTGTAATTCCATCCAGAATATGATATATCCTATTTCCTGGTCAAATCCACCCTCTCCCCCCCCCTCCCAGCAACACCTCAACTTTGTCAGGGTTAGTCAGTAAGGATGTTTTCCTTTTAAAGATCTCAGACTCAGGTCAGAGTTCTCACCCAGCGTAACTGATTGCTCTTTCACACATAGTCAAGAAACTCCTGACTGGACTACAGGCACCTAGCTAGAGATGGGTGGTGTGTGTGTGTGTGAAGCAGTTTACACATTAGGGTTGCCAAGTCGCGGCGGGGGATCGTAGGTCTTCACAGAATCCTTGCCACGGGGACGGCGAGACGCGTTGCACCCGCCGTCGCCAGGATCTAACGCAACACATCTCGCCGTCCCCGTGGCAAGGATTCTGTGAAGACATGCAGATCCCCCGCCACGATTTGGTGAGATTTGGCAGGCCTATTACACATAGAGAGACAGCCCTTATCTGTGATTCATGCTGGGGATAAAGAAAGGAAGGGCAGAGCTTGAGTGGTGGTGGCCATACTGAAGAAAGGAGAAAAGAGAACAGGGACTGGGGAAAACCCAAAGTCCTCTCTCATGCACACAGATTTCTCACTGCCTTGTGGGCAAAGAGAGTGGGAAGGGGGGAGGGGAATCTTTTATAGTCTCTACCCCAATCATATACTGAGAGAGTGAACCCAATTGGCCTACTAACTGCAGTTGCTACATATAAGACATCAGGAGAATAGGAGTAAAAAACAACCAGGGGTAGGAGAAATAAGGATAGTAATGAAGCTTAAAGCTATTTACAGATAACATACAATGTTCACTTCTGGATGTACAGAACAGTCAAGCTTTTATTATTGAGGCAAAAACTGGCATTCCTTCAACCACAGGATTCTCAGTGTAAATATGAGTTCCTCTCAGACACCACCAGTCTCACTAGTTTCCTTCAGAAATTCGGCCCTGAGATTGTTTCAAACTCTTCATCAGGTATTCACAGTGGTAGTCTGCTTTCCCTCAAAAATCAGACTGAGATTCACATAGTTCATTTATTTATTTATTTGATGTTTTGCCTGCCCTTCCCTCAAGCAGGCTCAGGGTGGGTTACAGCACAATTAAAATAATACATAGTAGAAATATAAAACATAGTTAAGATACAAATATAATAGTCTGTAATATTATAAAATACCAATTCAAAACAATTGTAACCATTACTAAACCATTGATGGCATTTGCTACACAAACCTAAGAGTGGTAGCCGTACGTGGAACAGTACAGCGCAAATGGGTAGGTGGGAATCAGCCAGGATGGAATAAAACAGGGCAGAGCAGGGGAGGCCATTGGAGATTAATTGCCACCGCCTCAACCATAGGTCTGGTGGAACATTTCCAATTTGCAGGCCCTACGGAACTACATCAAATCCCACAGGGCCTGGATCTCAACTGGGAGAGGGTTCCCCCAGGCCGGCGCCAGAGCTAAGAAGGCTCTGTGGCTCTGGTTGAGGCCAGGCATACCTCCCTTGGGCCAGGGATAACTAGCAGATGTTGATCAGAGGAGTGCAAAGCCCTTCAAGGGACATATTGGGAGAGACAGTCCTGTAGATATGTTGGTCCCTGTCTGCATAGGGCTTTAAATGTTAGAATCAGGACCCTGAACTTGATCCGGAATTCAACTGAGAGCCAGTGCAGTTGATATAGCACTGGTTATATATGAGGTTTTCGTGGTGTCCCCGTAAGGACACGTGCCACTGCATTCTGGACCAGCTGCAGTTTCTGGGTCAATCTCAAGGATAGCCCTACATAAAGTGAGTTATAATAATCCAACCTGGAGGTGACCGTTGCATGGATCACTGTAGCCAAGTTGCAGGGAGAGAGATGCTTGACCTGCCAAAGATGGGAAATCACAGATCTGGCAACCACTGTGACCTGGGCCTCCATTGAAAGGAAGGCATCCAGGATCATGCCCAAACTCCTCACCATTGGCACAGGTGATAATGACGCTCCACCAAGGTTTGGGAGTTGAATCCCCAATCCCACCTCCATCTTCATTGCTTTATTATCGGTTTTATTGTTTATTAATTATTTATATTATTATTATTTTATTTATTGTTATATTATTTATTTTTTATTTATTTATTTATTCCCCACCAAAGCAGGCTCAGGGTGACTTTAACCATGCAGCCATGGTGTCCAAACCCTGAGACAGGTTCTCTGGAGTTGCATTCACTAGTTTACCCTACTTACATACAAAGCAGACTCTAAGACAGGATCTCTCTCACACACACACACTCACTCTTGCACACTCTTACAAACCCTATCTGAGCTGACGTAACAGCTTTTTCTCTCATGCTTCCCCCTTCACATCTGGCTTCCTCAGCCATCCATGGGCCCTGATTGGTTGTTAGCTACACAACAAACAGGCGTACAGAGGACTGGTGAGTGACAGAAAGGAGCAGCACCCCATCACACTATCCTAGTGATTGAGAGCTAGTTTGGTGTAGTGGTTGAGAGCAGTGGACTCTAGTCTGGAGAACTGGGTTCGATTCCCCATTCCTCCGCTTGAAGTCAGCTGGGTGACCTTGGGTCAGTTACAGTTCTCTCAACACCCCCCCAAACCTAGCACACCACAAAGAGAGCTAGACTGTCAGTCTTCAGATCTCCTAGCTATACTACACCCACTGCCATTAAAACCTGAAGAGGATCAATCTAAAAAGTCTGGAATGGAACTGCATAGAGTGCATGGCAATAATTTGGTCTAGGGCATGTACCACAGTGGCATGATCTTTCCTGCACAGGAAGGGCCACACCTGGCCCACCAGCCAAAGCAGGTGAATGACACCCTTGTGATTTTAGGCAGTTTTCTGTGAAGCAGGAGTTCCACTCCTACTTTCCCATCTATATTTATTGTTATCACTAGGACACCACTGTGGAGGAGGCCACATCCACGTTAGCATAACTAATGTCAGGGAGGGATCATCCATGCACATCATTGTTTTGGTGGATTTCAAAGGACTCAGTGGGAACAACTGTTAAGTGTTGCTGCATTACATTTTGTTTGTATAACTGTAGTTTTCTTGTTGACTTTTCTGCAGTAAATGCATAGGATCATGACTTCATTACACTGGCCGGGCCTTCTTAGTGGTCAGCACAGAAGGACCTTAAGATCTGCTTGCCTGATTGATCAAGTCTACCTCACTGAAGGAATAAAATAGATTAACATGGGCCCCTGCCATACGGGGGGGGGGGGGGAACGGCCAAAGGGCGGCTTGCACCAAAAGAGACCCGCAGCAGCGGGATCTGACAGATCCCCTCAGCCGCCGCGCAGTTGCTCCCCGGCACGATCAGATGCCACGGGGGGAAGCCACGGAAGGGAGCACGAGGCAGCCAGCTGCGCCTGTGTGCGCATGCGCAGTTCAGCCGGGAGCCTCGATTGCTCCTGAAGATGGGCGCACCGGCGATCTCATGGCCGCGCTTGCTGCGTCGTTTCAGGTAGGTCCTACCTTTTTCTAGGTTTTTTTTTCCTATGCTCATTTTCAGCCTAAAGGGCCGGATCGAGGACGGGTGCACGCCGCTTCCCAGATGTTGCGGTGTGATCGCGCCTGTTTGCTGCGCCCCCAATCCGTCCCTCTTCTGGGCCTAAACCTGCCGTGTGACCGGGTCCTCAGATATTCAAAAGGCCACTTTAAAAGGCGTAATTTAGAAAAATAATTTTATAGAGAAATAATTTTAGGTAAAATTAACATAAGCTACACCACTGAGTACTCTGGTCTCGTGATATAGCAATCATTCATGACTGGGTTTTCCTGTATGCAAAATAAAATCCAGTTGCAAATATCTTCTATAGTGCATCCTGACCTGTACTCACTTATTTTTGTGGGAACTATTTTGGAGCATGTGCATTATGAAATATAAGTTTCGACTCCCAGTAAGAGTTAACCATTTCAAGGCAAGTGGCTGGGGAGCAACAATGCCCTTCCATTCTCTACATAGGGCAAACAGGTCAAATCCTACGCCAAAGGATAAATGGACACAAATCTGACATTAAGAATCACAAGACTGAGAAACCTGTAGAAGAACACTTCAACCTTCCAGGACATTCAGTAGGGGTGCCTCAAAGTAGCTGTTTTATTGCAAAGGAACTTCAGGAACAGACTGGAAAGGGAAATTGCTGAATTATTACAACACTCAAAACAAAAAGAACTTAACAGGGATATTGGTTTCTTATCTCCCTATATATGTTAATCTTATTCAGTCCTTACATCTGTATTCTCACCAAGAAGGGCCATACATCCTCTTTATTTTATTGTATTTTTAATTGTATTTCTTATTTGGAATGGTAGATCGGAATGTATTTCTCTGCTCTGGTGACAGAGGAGACGTAATGCTGCATAACCAATCACCCCACCTTAAAGAAAAGGATGCTGTTAGTTACCTGCGTGCTTGAGAGGAGACAGATGGAGTGTAACAACAGGGTCTCAGTTAATTAGCATTCCACAATTAAAAAGGGTACATTTACACATCCAATTTTGATATATTTATTTGCTTCACTATGTTTCCCCCCAGAATTAAATCCAAACAAATGGTGACCAACTAAGGCTTGAAGTTCCTGTTTGACGCTGTTTGGACCTTGCATCTGTTAAACATTTTAATCATGTTGTATGCTAATTTGTTGCACATCCTCTTACCAATATGTATGGACTAGTAACTTCCATTTCAATGTATCTGAAGAAGTGTGCATGCACACGAAAGCTTATACCTTGAATAAAAACTTTGTTGGTCTTAAAGATGCCACTGAACTCAAATTTTGTTCTGGATCAATTAAAGTAAACCATATTTCCTTGTAATAGTATTACTTTGCCTAGGCAGATTTCCTTTTTAACTTTCCAACCACAATGCGGAAAAGATCTGTCTCACAAAAGCCCTAGCCAGCTCTAGCCTTAAAATCCAGCTATCCAAAAATATTTTAAGATTTCACTTTGCTTGCTTGTAATAAAAGGGTAAACCTATACACTCTTCAACTAGTCTCCTAATGGTAGCATTCAAGTTAAATATAGTGCCCATTCTGTAGGGTTTTCCAGACTTTTCAGATTGATCCTCTTCAGGTTTTAATCAATTACACGGAGTGCAGTTTTTCTGTGTGAAGCTTTTTGACTCCGACTGCCACAATTCCCAAAGCCTTTATCAACCTACTAACCAGAACTCCTTAAAAGAAAGTAAGCAGTGGGTAAGAGACCCTGCTGGTCTCAGAGAATGAATCTTGATTCCTTTCATTTCTAGGAGTGTTGAAGTCTTAAGACATAATAGCCCTGAGTTTCTGAGTGTAGCTGTGCCAAAAAAATGATTTTGTTCTTCACAATGGCTAGCACTGGGAACAAAGTCAGAGGCAGGGATTGTAAGTGGCTGAGCACTCCAGAGCCAACGCACAGCCTCAGTGCAATAGCTGACGTTGACTTGGCAGTTTTTCAAATTGGGAAGAAAGAGTAGACTCAAGAGAAGAAAGAAAGATTTTGAAAACTTCCTAATAATGCACTGGTGTATGTGAAACTCCTAAACATAAAACATGTGTATTATAACATTTCTTATATTATTCTCAATTTTGTGTTTTGTTTAAGGCATTTGATTATGACTTTGTTGCTCCTTCTATTTCAAATTGACATAAGGTTTTGTTTTCCATTTCAATTACTTGTTGAGCCTCATTAAGTTGCTTTTAGGGAAAAGAGAAAAAAAGTAGTTAAAGTGTTGCCCTCTTTGTCATGGTGTTTCTCTCAACATTTTTAATTTATAAAGGGGAGGGACTGTAACTCCTGGCTGACACGCATGCCAAAGTTAATTAAGCTTGAAGTTCAAATCCTTTCATCAAAGAGGAGGCATCGAATATAGTTCTGTAAAGACAGCCAAAGGCTGGGGGATATTAACAACTACTGGGATTTTTTTTCAGCTACCTGCTTGGGCCTGTTCATTTGAATTGGAGCCTCATCCTGAATACACCACTAGCACTTGCTATTTTTGGCTTTCCTCCCCTGTTCAGCCTCCAATACGTTTTGCATATTCATTGGTAGAAAACAAGCTTATTGAGCTCACTGAACAAGAGGTATCCATTGCAGTGAACTGTCATGCTGTACACTTAGAAGCTAAGAGCAAGGTAAGAGTCTCAGTTATTTCTTCACTGTCTTCTGAGCAGCATCTGGATGGGAATGTTGAGTTGACAGTATATAAAGGATTCTGGCTTCCATGATCATTCACTTGGCACCATTTTCTCCTTCAGCACAGAAAGGAGGGGCTCAGGAGCTTTACCATTTCTTTTTCCCAGCTTTATTTTTGAGAAGGGGACAGTATATTTCTCTAACCAAGAAAGAATGTCATGGCACAAAATGTTTACTGGGATGCCCCTTTTCACTTTAATGCCTGGCTTATTCTGCAGGAGAAGGAAGTACTTGTGAAGGACATTTGGGAACTGTCTGGGAAAAACATAATCTCTGGCTATGTAACAATGGGGAAAAATTAATCTCCCATAATATTTATGTGTATGATATTCTGGGTGAGATGCAAAAGGAATTAAAATTATAAGGGCTGGTCTACTGTGAATTGCCACTTGCAAGGAAAAGAATTCCTAAGAACCTTAGAAGCTGTAATATATATGTTTATAGAAATGTTAAGTTCATAACAAAAGATTGCTGCTGCACTAAGTGCTAAACTAAGCTATTCCTAATATATAGGGGGTTGATTAGAGGGTGCAGGAAGAGCTAGTTGTTTTCTTATTTTATAGATTTTTCCGGTGTTGCACTTAAATGAATTTTCATGCTCCACATTGGTAAACCAACCCAGCAGCAAGCCAATATCCCAGGTTTATTTTCAAGAGTGCTTTTTTTTGTACAGTAAAAGTACAGAAGAATTACTATAATAAGAAAAACATATTTAAAAATGTATAATTGAAGCTTTCATTTCCCTGTGTCCCTTGTGAACTTTGAAATATCCTTTAACGTAAAATACTCCTTCCTAGGATGAAGTTTGGGTGCCGATTACAGTTTTTCATAAACCCAATTCTGTGGAGCTACACAGGAAACCACTTCTGATTCATGTTTATGGAGCTTATGGCACAGATGTGAACATGAGCTTTAAACCAGAAAACCTCATGTTAATCGAGGATGGGTGGATCTTAGCATACTGTCATGTTAGGTAAGTCACATACATTACTAAACTGGTTTGTGTGTTTGTGTTTTGTTTTGAGTTTTGTTTCGGTTTTGGTTTTTTGCTGTTGGGGAAATGTGTGCTTAGGAAGTCTCTTCTCTTTCTATTTGCATTTGTTTTCTCCTATGAAATACCATTCATAATTTTATATATATATAAATATATATATATCTTCATTAAATATAAATATATAATACAGCTTGCTAATAAGATGTATTAAAATTCACCAGATGAGGATACAATTATTTCAGTTCTTTGACTTAAGATAAAGAATGGCTGGGTCCAGGTTTTTCATTCTTTTGATTTCTATCATGCTATTCTAGTGTTAATTTTATTCCACAAGGTCTCATTTTTTCCTTGTGCTTAAAGGGTAAGTTAAAGGATACTGTGATATTACATTCAGTTTGTGAAGACGTACCTTCATCTGAGGTCAGAAACTGTAACGTGTGCATTTGCTGAAATTGTGTAAGTTATGTCAATGGCATATAAATTATACAGATATTTAACCTTGCTGCTTCTGTTTGCTGGATAAATTCTATTTTGTGCTTGTCCCTTTCCCTTTTTGTGACTGTATATAATGCATTTTCAGCTCTTTACCTGTAGTTCTTTCCCTGTAGTTCTACGTAATCATTGTCTAATTAAAACAATTAAAAAATAATATGATTGCTTTTTTCCTGCATATTTTGGAAAATTGTGAACATAGTATTTTCATATGGACCAATATTATTATTTATTTTAGAGACACTGGTTCTAACATAGCATATAACAGGAAACCAACTCCACAACCCAATTTAGCTGAAATACTGGAATTTTATGAATGTAATAAATAAGCAAAAAGTATGATTATTTAATTCCTGCCCTTATCAGACTATATAGAAGTAAGTCTGATTGGTTTCAGTGGGAGTTAATTCCTTTTGTGTATCCTTAGGACCATATCCTTGGTTTCAGTAGTAGAAAAAAGGGTATAAATCACTGGGAATTATTCCATGAAAACCCTAAGAGAAATAGGATATGTGGAAATAAATAAATAAATAAATAAAATTATTAAAATACTGCAAAGGGTTTGAATAAGTTGTTTTCATAATTTCTTCTGTATCCTGTGAAGTGGGACCTAGTTGATCTCATCCAATGTGTGATTTGTGGGACCCAGACTAGTCACTTTGGAAGCTCACGGATCTCAGGTTCCACACTGCATGTTGCAGATTACTCGTCCTTCTGCTTTCCCTGCTTCTGTACAATATTTAAATATAATATGTAAATAGGCTTTATTGCAGCAACTATTCTGTGTTTTAGTTTTCCTGGTAAGTCAAGAAATGTTTTTTGGGTTGTTTATGCAATATGAATAATTTTATCTGTATCCATCTGTGTCTTTTCTAATTAGCATACCTAACTCAGGCATTGGGGGGGGACTGATTAATTGGGGGGGGATGTAGAGTGTTTAAAATCAAGTACATAGCTTAAGCCAAAAATGATAGCATCGATAAAATGCAATTTCCACAGCCTTTCAGAACATATAAGGATTTCAACACTTTTTAAAACCGTGTTCTTAGTATAAGAATCCCTTCAAAGGATACAGCTCAAGGAACACCAAATCATTTGAGGCGTGTTCCACTTACATCACAAGCAGGGTACCCCTAAATGAAGGCGTCCAACAGAGTGCCAGACTCTTGCATCAAGCCGAAAAGAATGGCTGGGAGGAACACAAAGATTCCTCCCCTTTACACCCTGTTTTGCTGCTTGTGCTTGTAGAAAGGAGGAGGGGCAAGACTTCTGTCTTAGTGGAATTCTACACTCATGGGCATTACACTGCAGTGCAATTAGAGTGTGGTGTAAAGATTGTTTATAATAATGAAAAGCTGTAATTTAGTTTCTGTAGTGAGAAAGACAAATATTTCAAGTCCTGCAGAGTCTGGGCACAGTACACACACCGAACAAGGTTTAAGGCCTTCTTAGTAGCAGTGTCACAGCTTTGGAATTTCCTGTGTAGGGAGGCCTCTCCTGGTCAGCTCTTTTATCACTTATAGAACATATATGGATGGCAGTCTTTCATAGGGTAGGTGGAACACATTCAGCCTGCCTAAAGTATAAGTTGGACCTAGAGAGAGAGCCATTTTTACTGAAATAATGAATTTAGTTTTATAATTATTGCTTTGGATTTAATTACTGTGCATATTTAATTGTTGAAATATTTCACTATATAGTACTTTGAAAATTTACTAATCTCTCCAGAACACTTAGCATACGTCCCTGGAGCAATGTTTCCTGATGGGAAAACTTATGGGGTTTTGTTTTTGTTTTTTTAACACAAACATGTTTATTGCGTCTAGAAAGAAAACTATAAGCAGCTGTAGTTTGGGGACAATGCCAATGTACAGGTTCTCTTTTTTTTCCTAAGAGGAAAAAAATGTAGAACGATTTCTCTAGCTGTTGTGCCAAAAAAATATATGCAGTTGGGGTAGGAATTTATCCCAGACTAAGGATCCAGGGGTTAAAATTAAAATAGAAATGCTGGATGTTTTTAGCAGTTCTTTAACTATAAATTGACAAATCATGAAAGTTTTCACCAGACATTTCCAAATCAAAGTACTTTTATAATCCGTGTTTTGAAATTTATATAAACCATTTCATTTATATAAAATTAGGAAGTGATGGGACTGTTCATCAAAAGATGTATAGATTTTCTTACAGGATTGTATAATCATTTTATTCCAGAGGTGGAGGAGAGCTAGGCCTAGGGTGGCATAAAGATGGATGTACTACTAAGAAGCATAATGGTACCCATGATCTCAAAGCATGTATAAACCTGTTGCACAAACTGGGTTTTTCTCAGCCTGCGTATACAGCCCTGGCAAGTCTGAGTGCTGGAGGAGTTCTTGCAGGAGCTCTGTACAATAATGATCCTCACCTTATCAAAGCAATGGTTTTACAGGTGAGAATTTATCATTTCATTCCACTTCACAGTTCAGGGCACCCTTTCAGGATCACTTTAGAATGGAAGCTTCTGAGGTCTTGTGGTATCTTTGAATCCTGTTTATTTATAGCTGCAAGCACAGACCCAAATCCAGCATGTTTTGAGCACTCATGTCTAGATTACACTCCCACTCTTCTCTTGTCCAATCACTAAGCCAGAACTAAAGCCCACTCTTTCTAGCCCTTAATTGCAGGTGGATCTGTGTATTCTTGGTTCACTGTGCAGAAAGGTGAATTTTAAAAGTTTTTTGCAGCATATATGTGACCACACAGTCCATTTCAATTGTCGGTTTTATCCACAGCCACATCCCAGATTGCCAGATCTCCCAGAAGAAAGCGGTGTTTCCACACATGAGGAAATGGGGAAATAGTTTGGTCATTAGAATACATGTCCAGGGATCCCACTTCAGAACTGCAAAGAAGTTATTGATGATCCAGAACAAAAAAAAGTTATCCCCATGGATCCCCATGCTGGATTGGTAGTGGAAAGTGCCATCAAGTCACATCTGATTTATGGTGACCCCCGTAGGGTTTTCAAGGCAAGAGATGTTCAGAGGTGGTTTGCCACTGCCCACCTCTGCATAGCAACCCTTGGCCTCCCATCCAAATACTAAACAGAGCCAACCCTGCTTTAGCTTCCAAGATCTGATTATGTTGGGCCAGCATGGACCATCCAGATCAGGTCCCTGCTGGGTTAGAGTTAAGAGTATTTGTGGGGCAATGAAAGGGATTTGCATTATATAAAGGAAAAAATGTCAAAATAAAAACAGTTATTACTGGAAAAGATTTTTCCGCTCAGCCGTTTTAACATTGGCATGGGTTAAGACTTGTTCACAGTCTGTTACAAATTTTTAATAACCCCCTGAGAACAGAACCTCATTAGGGAGAGTGGAAAATACAGATAATCTTATCGTGTATGTCAACATGTCCTTTGATTCATTGTTATTATCTAAAAGGTGTGGGAAAATGTTGGTTTGATTCACAGTCTCCTTTTCTGGATGTGTTAAACACAATGTTGGATCCTCATCTCCCTCTGACCATTGAAGAGCAAGAAGAATGGGGAAATCCACTGCTTGATGAGACTTGCAAAGCATATATTAAAAGCTACTGCCCCTATCAGAATATAAGACCACAGGTATAAGGTCATCTTTTCCTATTACTACGACATAGATAAGTAAATTGTTGACATTTTAAAAACTTTGAGAAGTTTCTAACAATTGTCACAATTTAGCCCACTTTAAGGATTCAGAATCTCCTATTCTCTCATTCTAATCTCCTAACTCATTAAAACTGGCAGGTCTTCAAAGTGGTTAACTTTTGCTGGATTGCCCTTTGTGTATCAGACGATAACGTATGATGATAACGTATTATACAGCAGACTTTTAGGTTAACAAACAAACCTATCTTCCATACTGAGGGTCCTTTAAATGAAGTTTGATTAATCAGACTCGTATCTTTCAAGTTATATCAAGAGCAAAGATGTAAATGGTATCTGAAATTGGTTAGACTACATTGACCAGTGTCATAATGCTTAGCACACTCAAGCACTATTAGATCTTATTAAGGCTTTGTATAATGGGACTATAGTACAGCTAAGTGTTTTTCTGCCATGTGGTTTAAATGTGTCCTACTATGGAACCACATCCTTCTTCCAGAGGTAGAATTTTGCAGAACACAACCTGGGGGAGAGGGGATTACTTCCAACCTCATGGCATAATTAAAATGATTTTCTTGTACTAAGCCTATTCAGAAATAGTGCTGGGCTCTGCGTGACAATGATTAAGAAAATCGGAATCTAGCCTTGGGAATCAATGCTCCCCCCCCCCCCATCTTCTCCCTTCTGAGAGATGAATTTCCTCCTCCTGTCTTAACTGTGGCTTGGACACTATGGCTCTGCTTCTCACGCATTTCTCTCTGGGTGCTGTGGAGGCAGTCCTTCACTGCAGGCATGTTCCTCTTGTGGCAGGCACTTTACTGCTCCTTGGAAAACTTTGTTCTGGCAGAAGCAGAACTGCTTAGCACCAGATCCAAGCCATCAACACAAAACGTACACATAGGTAACACTAATCCACTTTGAGCTATAGTTTTAGATTTTTGCTGGTTAGCATTACTTGTGGTTAAGGCTGATACCAATCTTTCCATTAACCACAGCTAAATTTGGAAAACGAAATTCACTCTCTAGAGCAAGGGAAAGGGGCTGGGAGAAGAGAGCACACTTCCCCCAATTGCCTCTTGATTCCTCAGGCATGGTTAAAAGAGAGCCACTGTTACGTCTACTCCAGACTCTGCCACTGGCCATTTTATAGATAGGGGTATCTCCAGGCCCAGCACTCCAGTATGAATCTAAGTCAGACAGCAGGAACTCAGAAGAAAGCAGATCAAGACTTCCTTTCTAAACTGTACAGCTTTTGTGCACTTTCCCTTTACTTCAGTGGGTCATGTTCAGAAAAACTTCTTGTTTTTACTGTTAGCTCATAGTTCAAAATGTTTTTACTGTTAGCTCATAGTTCAAAATGTCCAGCAGGCAATACCAGCATCAGGGTAGATGTCATTGGGGAGCTGCTGAGACCCCCACGCCCTTAGGACGTCTACAAAGTCTTGTCACACTGAGTCAGTATATGGTAACAGTAGCAGCAATTGCAGTCTGCCCCCCCCCCTTCTCTCTGGGTGGGGACTTGCCTGAAAGGACCGAGTCTGCCCACCCACCCCTCCTTGGCTTGCATGCTATTGACTCCTCCTCTTCTGCCAAGGTAGTCGAAGGACAGGAAGCTGGGGCTGCTGAATGCTATTTTCCACCACTCACTTCCCTGCTGAAGTGAACATTGATGGCTACTAGAAGCAGCTGCTACCAAGGAGAATGATGAAGCAGGCAAGCAAGTGGTAGCTGCTCCTCCTACTGGTGGCGGCTGCTCATTCACTCAGGTGGATGAGTATTACCTGTTAACTTGGAACCAGTGTTATAAAAGCAAAGAAGGACCACTTTATATATTTCTTTTCCCCACATGGATATAATTTTGGGGATGGTGTACACTGTATTAGACAAAAGGCAGCACAAGTGCCTATCTCCTTGCAGTTCTGATGACAGGGGTTTGGTCCCACCAGCTCTTCCTAGTAATCTGAGGTTGATGGGTTTTGTTACGTTTCACTGCTAACCACCAATCCAGTTAAAAAGCCTCACCAAACTGTGGCCCATCAGGCTTTGCACATATTGCCGTCTGCCAAGTGCGTGTCAGTGCCTTCTGACCCAACCCTTTTGTGCAGTCATGGACAGGCTTTAAAAACAAGTTTCTTTTAGCCCCTAGTGGATGCTGTGTGTGGTTAGCAGACTGCATTTGGTTTGGCGAATCACAAGGTGCGCAAGCCTGAAGTGGAAGATGTATTCACAGTTCAAAGCATCCAAGCAATGTCACAGATGGTGAGATCCAAAATGATACTGCCTACAGTATAGCATTAAGCCAAGTAACTAAAAGAACCCCCATAACTAAATTAAAGTTAAAATGACTCTTTGCATCGCACACCTTTTGATTATGTAGAGGGAGATTGGTTATTTGGCAAAGATTTCAGGTAGCTGTGTTGGTCTAAAGTGCTTTTTATTAGGGCCAGCCAATGGTTGCTCAAGCTTTGGAGTTTTCTAGAACTCTTCATTAGGCAGGATTTAAAGAAGTAAGGGGGGGGAGAAGGCCCATATCCTATGTAGAATGCCAGGTGGATTTGAATAGTTAAAATGGTGCTGAGAGGATTTGACAGGTTCTCCTTGGTGCTTCTTTCCAGTCTCAATAATTGAGGATGTTTGCAGCTTAATAGAAAGCAAAGTACTAAGTAACAGGTACAATCTTACCATAATTGTCAAGTATAGCCATAGTTCAAAGTAACGGCTGCACAGCCTGGCCTCAGTAACTTCATCCTTCTAACTCAGATGTTTCCTTTCCTCTCTTTTTTTTTTCTCCCTCTGCCCAGCATTATCCTTCTCTTTTCATCACAGTCTCTGAAAATGATCAACGAATACCTCTGGAAGGAGTGTTGAGATACATCTGTAAACTAAGAAGAGCTGTAAGAGATCATGTCCAAGCCAAAAGCGCAGATGAGAAAGGTAACCAGATATTCTCCCATTTATATGTAGTTGGTTAAATCATCATACAAGTATATTGCATAAAAATAGTGCTCTGAAAATGGAGTTGTAAATAGAGAGTGTATTTTGCATGTCTTTTACTCAATTACAGTTTTATAAGTGGCCTTTATTGTATTTGACTTTGTATTTGCAGCTCTGTTCAGTAACCAGGATCATTCTTTGTTTCTGTGTGTAATGAATTTTATCAGCCATTGTTCATTAGGGAGATGTAACAATACACCACAAATTTGAATGTGTTATTCAAATTTGGCATCGCAACCTTTGGAACTCAGAATTATCATTAGTCAATAAGAAATAGCCATTTCGTACTTTTTAAAAGGTTGTTGTCAGTTCTCTGACCCTTTCCCAGTATCTGTGCCAACCTTGAAGTGCTTAGGATATCTGGCAAGAGCACAGCAGCAACCACAATTTGCCAGGCATTGGGTAGTGACTGCAGTCTGAGCATTCAGTACCCTAGACAGTGCAAATGCCAGCAGGGCAGCACTGGGCATGGCACAGTAGAAGGGAGGATAGCTGGTGCTGGGGGGGGGGATATCGGGCAGTACTGGCAGGCAGTTTCCTACTGGTTCCAGTGGAATTCCAGTTATATATTATAACAGCGCATCTTAAGTTCTACTCCAGAATTTAACTAACTTTTTTTGGCCTTTTAATATTTGTTTTAGGTCTTCAGATGCCTAATATTATTTTAGATGTGCAACCAGGAGGCAGTCATTGTGCGTCTTCTTTAAACCAGGTATAATCCCAACACACTTTTTTTAATTGACCAGAAAACCCCACAGACAATCATAGATCTGGTCTGCATAACGGGGAGAAAAATAGCTTTTGTCTGTGGGGATAAAATGGAGACCTCAGGTAAATGAACATCTAAGGAATAATTTGTAAATAAACATACACTGCTTTTAATTCTCAGTAGTCCCTCCCTGCTGTTGTACAGATGTCATGTGGAATGGATCATTACTGCAGTAAAATTGAAGAATGAGTATGGAAGGGATGGAGTGACATTTCTGATGATGCAGTGTGAATTTCACTGAACATCTTATGTGGATGTGCACATGATGCTTTGTTATTTATTGTGTGTGTGTATGTATATATGTATATATATATATGTGTGTGTGTGTGTGTGTGTATATGTGTGTGTGTGTGTGTGTGTATATATTTAAAAATGGACACTCGGTGTGTTGCAGTCTATCCCTCCGTAATGATATCTATGCATATGTGCATATCCAAATGCACATCGGACACTTCGTGTGTTGCAGTCTATCCCTCCGTAATGATATCTGTGCATATGTGCATATCCAAATGCACATCTTCTACCAAAATCTGGGACATACCGTTCAGACGGACGCCTGGGAGCGGTTTAAACTTCTCCGGTTCGAGGTGCTTTTTTTTAAGCTGGAAGAAACGCGATCACACTTACCTCTTTGTTCCGGTTCGTTGTGCAGCCACGCCGTTCACACAGGTTTTTTTTCTTTCCGTTTGGGCATGCGCGCACACAGCCATCTGTAGTATTGGAATTTTCGCGCGTGCGCATAAGAGAGATTTCCCTTTCACACAACAGCCAGAACACTTCCTTTTAAACTTTAAATGAACACTTCCTTTAAAACTTTTATAATGAAACCGGCCTCCGTGAGGTCCCGGACTCATCTAAAGGTGACAAGTAGGCACCGTTTTTTAATTCATTTTACTAACGCCAGGGTGAAGCTTCGCCCAAGCGCACATCACCTATGGTAAAAAATAAAATTAAAAAATGGCGGCCGAAAAGCGAAAGCCTCGGGCTTCCGAACGGAAGTGACTCTACACTGGCGGAGAGCGATCAGATGGGGATAATGCAGCTGGAACCGGTGCACTCAGGATACCACCACTTGGGGACCTAGTAGCAGAATACACCATTTTAAAGGGTGTTTGCAACAGTTAGGGACGGAAGGCAGATGTTCGCCGTGTGATCGTCCGTAAGTACACCAATTCCAACCAACATCTATACCGGCATAAATGCCCGTCTGAACACACCCACTGATAGAAAATGAGCAAAATAATATACATGCAATTCTGTGGAACAGACTACTCGGATTGTAATGGCATATTCCAAGGAGAATGCCTATCAGAGGTGAATTTGGTAGCATCCCTATAAATCCTCAGGGCTAATTAACTCCCTTCCTTCCAGCCACCTCTGAATCCCCTTTCCTTTGTTCCCCTAGACACCCAGACTGACCAGCCAAAGAGTACACTCCCATAGCGTCATTTAAGGAAAATTCACTGTTTCCCCAACACAAAATGACTCAGTGGAAATCATTCAAATGGGATTGTATTCTTGTGAGGTTTGCCATATGCCCTGCTGTCCTGTTGCCACATCAGCTTTAGGAAGAGGCCTTGGCCTCTGCTCCTTGATGATTGCCCCTTCAGAGCAACTGGCTGGCCTCTGTGTGAAACATGGTGGTGTATTTGATGGACCACTGGGTCTGACCTAGCAGGGCTGTTCTAGTGCTCTTATATTCTTATGTTCACATTTCCCAGAAAGCTAAAGAAATAAGGCTTGTGCCAGGCACATGGTTGTAGAATACTTGGTGAATCCATTCATAAGGACAGGGATTCTGCAGATCAGTGTCATTTGCTGACTGTCCAATATTCACCTCATAGTCAGAAACAATTTGTATGAATTGGTACATACAGATTGATCATGACATCAGTAATGTCAATAAAGTACAGAAATACCTTTTGACCGACTGATGTGTTTGTGTGAGTGTGTGTAAGAGAGAGAGAGAGATTTATGCTTATTATATTTCATCCATTTCATAGCTATATTATTTTAACTATAATGCCATTGCTTTAATATTGTAAAAATAATAACTCTGTTCATCTCTATAGTAGCAGAACCTTCCAACAGAGATTAACAGCCATATCTAAAGATTTGCTGTACCTGTACATAACTTCTTGCGATATGACCCCAATTCAACAGAAGAAAACATACTTTAAAACAGATACCATTAATATACTTCTTTGGGCTGGAAAACATCAACTAGAAGCCAAGCCACACACGTGCTGCCGTGGTAAAATTGGCTTCAATAGCCATGATCATTCATCAGGAAGGACAGGGGACCTAAAGGGTTAGATACAGTCATTCCTCCCCTATCCAGACATCTGATTAGCATTACTGAAGACTGGAGGTGGCTGTCGATTGGGCTTTTTGTGTCATGCAGTAGGGGAGGCTCTCTCCAACACTTGCCCCCCCAAAAGCAGTAGTGGCAGTAGCAATATTCCTTGTTTATCCTGATATGTGTATCAGGACCACATTTATTTGTGTGAGTGAGTGAGTGTGGTTTGTATAGCTATGAACCTTAAATGTTCAAAAAAAATCATAATTGCATTTTTCTAGAGTTAAAATTCTGCTACATGAAAACACAGGATATTTAACATAGGATACATGCACACACTTTCTTCATACATGGTGGAAGGAAGCAAAGCAATTTTGAAAGCATTTAGTGACACCAGCTTCAGAGATGCTGCTTATGTTCTGGCCACAAGCTGTGTTATACCTGACAGTAATGCTCAATTCACAGGAAGCTTTTCTGATCTCAGTGAAAAGCCCATTACAGCAGCTGCCATTTTCTAAAGAAAATTGAGCAGGAAGAACTTTGATTACTCTTTGGACTGCAGGAGAACCCACATTATTATATATAGTGTGAGAGGAGCACGAATAGCATGGGAAGGGGACCAGCAACAGAGTTGTACAGAGCTGGAAATACCTGTGAAGTGTGCAGAAGACTACAAAGAGTGTGTTGATCTTTAACAACTAAATGTTTTAATTGTTTTAGGTTGCAGTTCAACTAGCTTTTCTCTACAGCGAGCTTGGACTAGACGTGCAAAAATGACTCCACGAAGCTCAAGTTTGTGACTGAAGTAATAAAGCAGCCTTGACTGAATGGGAAGCTACCCACGTGATTATTACAGCAATCAGATGTAATACTTCAGAGTAATGGTAACTAATTTGTAATTGATCAGATTCCTCAGAAATAGATGACTTCTCCAAATTTATTTTTACTAAATAAAATGTTTAGTACAACAATTAGAAGTGAATTCCTTTGTTCTAGAAAATACCCTGCCAAGTTTTACATTTACATTGGTTTTGTTGATGTGGGAAGGATAGAGTTTTGGGTACATTTGTGTTCCATTAGAGAAATTATAATAAATATTGCGTTCCTTGCGCCTTGGCGTTTAGTCATGCCGGCCACATGACCACGGAAACATCTTCGGATAGCGCTGGCTCTTCGGCTTGGAAACGGAGATGAGCACCACAACCCTAGAGTCGGATTCGACTGGCTTTCAAGCAAGGGAAACCTTTACCTAGGACAACTACCTCCCAGAATAATAGTGACAATGACCAGACCATGAAAGCTCTGGCATCTTCTATAACACAGGGCTGGATCCTGCAATCCATCAGCAGAAGCCTCTGATGATTACAGATCTTTCCCATGCTCCCCTCCCTCAGATGCTCATTTCTAACCCAGAGAAAGGGTATTCCTGGCGTTGCAAGACCTGTGTGGAGTAATAGCCATGTGGGTCAGGAGGGTGCAGTGGGGAAGGGAAAGGGGGCAAAATCATCCTTTATGACACTCTGCTGATAGAAACAAAGGAATCATTTTTCTCTCTTCCCCTTCCCAGTACAGCCTCCCAAACCATGTGGTAATTAATTAGTATTTAGGTCCAATAGCTTGTTTTTGGAGCCACAGGACCCACTTGGCTGTTAATGTATGTGGGTCCCACAGCTCTTGGAATAACTTTCTCAGGGTATTGTCAAGGCAGGGTGGATACGGGAAAGACCTCTGCTCTACATGGATCACAGCATCAAATTGATCACACCAAAGTGTACACTGGATTGTTTACAGTTTGCGATCATGATTTATAGGACAAGTGCAAAATCAAAACCATTTGCTGGAAAAGAGAAAACCATTAATTAGATTACAGTGTGCAAGGGAAGGATGGGAATGTGCAAGGCTAAGGATCCCCCAGGTTTGTTCATTTAGCACCAAACCATGGTTTGGAGTTTGGTCTGAATTAAGCCGATATATATTTGAAGGCAATAGGAAAAGAGGAAGACACAAAATGAAATGGACTGACTTAGTCAAGCCACGGCCCTTAGTTTGCAAGACCTGACCAAGGCTGTTAGCATAGGATGTCTTGGAAGTCTTAGGGTCATAATAGGGTCCCAATAAGTCAGAAGTGACTTGATGGCACTTAACACACACATTTGAATGAGACGAAGCCTATTAGAATCTAGTGGAAAGACTAGCATACCTTTTATTGTACAAAACATGTCAAGGCATAAACTTGGAATTAGCTGCCACTTAGCAGTACATGTAAAGTAAATTGAAGGTACTAGAATAACATGCCTTTTCTGCAACAAAACAGTTCTCCTTGAAAGTTTCCATTTTGTGAACTGGCTTGCTTGTCCTGTATTCCAAGATGAGTCCTTCACCCTTTTCAGTGTTGATTGCTTTTGTATTTACAACTGTTCCACTATTGCTAAAGTTTGTGCTTAGCTTTATAATAATATCTGAGGGAAGGTCAAGATCCAAAGCCTGGAGATCTGTCGTGGTTTCCATTCCAAAATTCAAGACCATCATAAACACTTGATCCAAGCCATCCAGTTCTCTCACATACACAAAGATATTGCTGTCATTCCAAATATAGCACATCCATCCCCTCTGAATGGGAAGCTCATTGGCACGAAGGGAACTGAGCTCTCGATACATTTTGAGTGTAGAATTCCATTCAGTCCTTTGAGCCTGTAACATAATGGTTCCAGTGCTGAGTGGTTTCTTAGATGCTGAAAATATGCTCTTAATATGATGAAGCTACCTGCTGTGGTTTATTCCCCATTTCCCAATATTTCCCTGTTACTCAGGCACTTTTTTTTACCTGCTTGGATTTTAACATTCATCCACTTCCAGTGACCCTTATAAATATCATTTAGCCATCTAGTCATAATAAATAATAAAACATAATGAAACACAAACTGGTAAATCAGCTAAAGCATTAGTTGATCAATTGGAGGGATTAGTTGATCAGCTGGGGAGGGTAATGTTAATAGGCAAGCCTGAGAGTTATTTATTACTGTTTTTCATTAATCAAATTTATATCCCTCCCCTCTGGTCCTAATTACATTCCCGGACTGAGTTAAGGGCATATTTGTTTACCTTTGGAGGTTTGAAATGCTGCTGTAATATGGAATGAAAAAAGAAAGAGACTATCAAAGATGACCTATTTTTTCTTCCATTGGCTTGTTGAACATTTGATAGCCCAATCAAGAAACCATCCAGTCCCTCTGATACACACAGTTGTGATTATCACTTTGCATGGACTTTTGTGCATCTGAGGGGCTAGATTGTTCCCCTTAGTTTTTCTTGATTTTAACTTCAATCAGTCATCTTGATCAATAAAATAATCTAATTGTTCCCTTTTCCTTTTGAAGCAGAGAGAAAATAACTTCATTCTTCATACTTACATCCACATTTATATTTGGATAGTCAGAGTTTACAGGGATCCAGCTTGAGTTGCCCTCAGTAAAGCCAGCATGAGGACTACTGTCCCATTGCATGGGTGACTTTTCTGAAAAGGTTGCCTAAACAAAAGACAATGTTATTTATTATAAAAATGAAATACAATAATGTTGACATGTCAGAGATTACTTTTAATTTGGAGCAAGACCACAAAACTTGACCCAAATACATTTGACCACCTCTCAGAGGAGCCGGGTGTCACTTGTGTGGTTTGCCAACTTGATAGGAAGCCAACCCGTCTAGCAAGAAAAGTTTACTCATACCTGGGCCAACATGGAAACACTGCAATCAAGTCAATAAAAGTGAAGTCAGCCTAGATCAAAGCCACACTCTACATTTTTAATATAACAACCCTGTGTTCATTTTTGTGATTTCTACTTAAGTTCTGTGTTAACCAATGTTACCTTCATGATATGGAGGTAAGGGCCAACAAATGAGAAATTATTTATGGTAATTCATGTTTGTAGATAAATGAAATGCTTTGAAATGGACAAATAGTTTGCAGGCATTCAGCATAAAGCTAACGTACTGCAATTAAGACCAACAATAAAAACAGCAACGTGAGAGTACATGGTTGCCCTGCCAACAGTTCCTGCTTGCTTAGAGGTGCCAGTCTGGTGCTTGAAAACCAATAGTAGATGGTGTATTAGAGGAGAGAAGACAACATAGGGCAGGGGTGTCAAACATCGGCCGCTGGGGGTGCCGTACCCATTCCAAGGACACTCATGGCTGGCCCACAAGGCACCCCATGTCCAACAGCCATCACAGCCACGCCCATCCACCAGCCAGCCTAGCTGTTAGCACTGTACCAGTTTCTTGCTCAGGATGAGAAAACAACTGCAGCAGCTAGCTACCCTCTGGTCCTGAGCAAGTGTGTCTGAGCAGGATTTGCCTCCTTCCTCTTCAGATAAGCATGGTTGTTCAGGGTGACTGAACAACATATTGTGCATGCTCTTGCTCGTCCTGGTCAGGCTGGCTGGGAATGGCCAAAGTGGTGACTGCCTGCTTCGCCAGAGCTGTGGTGGCCAGGAACAGGCTCAGCACCACTGGAAAGCAGTTCCCACACAGCTCCACATATTCCGTGGATGGGACCTGGCAACTCTAGCTCAGCCTGATGCTTGTACAGACCATATGTACACTTTATTTGATAATTAACCTTAAAAATTTTTTTCTAATGCCTAAAACCTGATCTCATTTGTGTTTACTACCACCATCAGACACTTTCTCTACCAGTTGCAGGTGAAGTTGGGGCCTGGTCATTCTTGCAGATTCAGGTATGATGGAAGAAGAATCAGGCATTGTGATTTGACAACTGAGAGAAGAACTAAAAAATGCCAAGGGAAATGACTGTGAAGTCAGCTGCTCCTCAGAAAGTTCACTTGCCCATACCAGTTCCTGAAGGAAATGTTCTCCCCATTTAAACATGTTCATTTTTTGATCCACCCCTAATGCATAATTTAAAAATTGGCAATGTGGTCCTAGACAGAAGAAAGCTGCAAAGACTCACGCATATTTAAAAAATGAAAGAATACAGCTATTGGGCAGGTACTTCTGTTAATAAAAATATTGTGCCAAATAAATACTGATCAACCAGTACTGATATTAATTAGCATTAATATCATCATTAAATACTAATGTAATGTGTGTATAATATATAATGTAATAGAATCATAGAATCATAGATTTGGAAGTGACCTCCAGGGTCATCTAGTCCAACCCCCTGCACAATGCAGGAAATTCACAAATACCTCCCCTCCACACCCACCATTACCACTATTCCATGCCCAGAAGATGACAGAAAACCTCCAGGATCCCTGGCCAAACCAGCCTGGAGAAAAATTGCTTCCTGACCTCAAAGTGGCAATCAGCATTTCCCTGGGCATGTAAGAAAGGGCCACAAGAACTAAGCACTGAGGCAACCCTTCCTGCCCTCCCTCTCATGATCTGCCTAAGTTCACAGACTCTGCATTGCTGTCAGATGGCCATCTAGCCTCTGTTTGGAAACCTCCAAAGAAGGAGAGCCCTCCACCTCCCAAGGAAGCCTGTTCCACTGAGAAACTGCTCTAACTGTCAGGAGATTCTTCCTAATGTTTAGCCGAAAATTCTTCTGATTTAATTTCAACCCGTTGGTTCTGGTCCAGCCTTCTGGGGCAACAGAAAACAACTCCACATCATCTTCTATGTGACAGCACTTCAAGTACTTGAAGATGGTTATCATGTCACCTCTCAGTCATCTCCTCTCCAGGCTAAACATACTGTATAGGATTCCTGCCCCTCACGCCTGTCCAGGAATGAGGGGAAAACCTACACTTTACAATAACTTAAACAATAATCCAGAAAGGTATGCTACCCTCTCTGGAGTTCAGAACAAAAGCCACCAGAACCTTTTTTAACTAGAGTCCCCTTCCAGCCCAAGAGCAAGGTTCAGATGCTTAACTGGCCTCTGGGACTTAACACATTAGCAACTCTAGCTCAGAGATGCACTTAATCTTACATAGGTAGCATGTGGCTAGCTAGGCACAGGAGTTTAGCCTTGAGATCCAGTTACCACATCAGACAAGTTAGAAACCAGGATAAGTTTATTCAGCACAGATCTTAGCAATTAGACTACAAGGATTTCAAAACAAGAAAACTTATGGCTCTTGGCCCTCACTAAACATTGAAGAGATATGCATAGTTACCAGGATGATCCATAGTCAAGAATGTCCAAGTATACAGTCCAATTAGGTCCCATCTTTGTGCAAGCATGCAGTCATGTGCTCAGCCTCACAAAGGAGTTCTTTGTCTCTCCCAGAGACAGCATGGCAAGACAGCATTTCAGGTGTCCATCCAAGATCTCACAAACAGGAACAGAGAGAGAGAGCTCTCCTCCAAGGGATCAGACAGTTAAAAAACGCAATCTAGTCACAAATTAGCCCTGGCCAGGAGCCAATTGGAGTAGACATAGGAGTGTCCAATTGTTGAGTTGCCATGGGTGCAACATCTGAATGGCTAGAGCTCTGAAGGCCACACCTGTAGTCATGTGACCCCCAAATTCCAGCTAGTCCATGGGCTATGTGCCTTCTGACATGCTTCGGCTACGTAAGCTTCTGACATGCTTGGCAGAGGCCATCTGGTCTCTGTCAGCATGGAAGTGTGAAGAATGTGGGGTTATATGGCAGGGCTATTGAGGCCATTTGGCTTCAACAGGAACAAGGCACAGCATGGTATCAGCAAGACATTCCAGGGGAAGGCATGAAACCTTTAGAAATCAATATTTCTATACACATACCCAACTCCTTCAACCTTTCCTCATAGGATTTGGTCTCCAGACTCCTTCATTGCTCCTCTGGACACATTTCAACTTGTCTATATCCTTCTTAAATTGTGGTGCCCAAAACTTAACACAATACTATAGGTGAGGTCTAACCAGAGCAGAGTAAAGTGGTACCATCACTTTGCGTGATCCGGACACTATACTTCTGTTGATACGGCCCAAAATCACACTTGCCTTTTTAGCTACCACGTCACACTGCTGACTCATGTTTAGTGTACGGTCTACTAAGACCCCTAATGTAATGTATTGATACAAATTTAAATAATAAGTATTAATAATTTAATTAATGCCTTCCACCTTAGTGATCACATCAATATTACAATAATTGGGTCTTCACTGTACCCCTGCTCCACGAGCCTTGCAGCAAATTAGCAGCTGGCAAGAGGAATGGCACAGTTAAGTGCTTAGAGATGCAAATAGCTCTGGCCAGAGTGAAACAAAGGTTTACTGGTCACCTCCTCAACTAGATTGTCACACCTTAAAGGGACAGAAACCATGACCTGGATGGCCCAGGCTAGCCCGATTTCATCAGATCTTGAAAGCTAATCAGGCTTGGCCCTGGTTAGTACTTGGATGGGAGACCACCAAGAACATCTAGTGTCACTACACAGAGGCTGGCAATTGCAAACCAGCCTCCGTTCATCTCTTGTGTGGAAAATCCTACAGGGTCACCATCAATTCGTTGCAACTTGATGGCACTTTCCACCAAAGGGACAGAGACTGGTAAAACCAGAAGGTTAGATTATACTTCTTCCTTTAGGGTCAGGAAGAATGGGAATTACCCCACCACAGAGAACAAAGAACTCTGAAGGGAAGATTATAAATTCTCTGGACACAAGGGAGAAGGGGCTTTTGTTCTTCCTATCCTTTTGTATCTTACTCAGCTGTATTCAAGGTATGAAGGACTAAGCTTCTGCAATGGGACTCCATCTTGACCACATGTCAAACAACAATGGGGAAAAGCCCTAAGTACTGAGAACTCAGGTAATGGAGGATTTTAAACACAGCTTCAAGGCTGGGAGCCAGCATGGTATAGTGGTTAAGAGCAGCAGACTCTAATCTGGAGACCCAGGTTTGATTCCCCACTCCTCTGCAGGAAGCCTGCTGGGGGACCTTGGGTCAGTCACAGTTCCCTCAGAACTCTCTCAGCCCCATCTGTGGTGTGAGGAAGGGAAGGAGATTGTAAGCTGCTTTGAGACGCCTTAGCGTAGAGAAAAGCAGGTTATAAAAACCCAGCTCTTCTTCTTCCTTCTCCTTATTACCAGCCTATCCTAATTCAATGTTGAATTTGTGGCTTGTAGGGCAGGTGTGCAGGGCACCTGCTCTTTTCAAGTGGAGGTCATCCACTCTTGCCCTGCAATCTGTGAATTCACAGCTTGCAGGGCAGGCTAGCACGGCACCCCTTTCCCTCCAACCATGTAAAGGGAAGGTTCTCTCTTGGTATTTAAAGGCAATACCAAGAGAGAAGTTGACAAATTAGGAGTAAAGGGGAACAGGTCCCTTGCTGGGTAGAGACGACAGAAGACCTTTCCAAGTACCCTCACAAACAGGAGCAGGACTCATGAGACCAGTAGACAGATTGCCCAACTGGGTTATGCTGGTATCAGATAACATGGTGGTATATGCAGGGTTGTGGGCTGATTGGCAATCAGAAGACAGGTTAATGTTCATACTGACAGGTGCCACCAGGTGGTGACAGCTGTGGAGAAAAGTGACCTGCAGAACACAAATCTGCTATCCAATTAACACTTGAACAAGAGCCTCTGCATTTCCTGACTCACCTCCTTCCCACCGTTGCCACCTGATAGTATGAACAGGAGCCTCCTCCCTGCCCATTGTGGCTTATCTGCACTCCTAAAATAAGTTGTTGCTTGCTTGCGCCCCTGAATGTATCACCACTGGCTGCAGGCAGGGAATGAGAAAGTAATTTCAAAAGGAACTTTATTATGTGTTGCAAAATACATTATTGAGACCAGTAAATTTGAGCCTCAATTTAAAGGTGAGTCAACTCCATTCACAGGAGAACTTATATTGCAACAAAAATAGACTCATCAAGGTTTTACTGCCAAAGGAAAATGATCCTTTATTTTGTTTTGCTTCATTTATACCCTGCCTTTCTCCCCAGTGGGAACCCTTAAGCAGTTTACACCATGCGTTCTGCTCTCCTCCATTTTATCCTCACAACAACATGGTGGGCTAGATTACGCTGAGAGCCTGTGACTGGCCCCAAGTCAGCCAGAGAACTTCCATAACAGAGTGGGGATTCAGACCTGGGTCTCCCAGATCCTAGCCCAACACTCTATCCTAGGGTTCCCCAGTGTGGTGGTGCCTATGGGCACCACTGGCACCCACCAGTACTTCCATTAGTGCCCACCAAGCTTTCAGAAAGTCCTTGGCATGGCCACTGTAAGACAGTATTTACTATTGGCTGCTCTCATGCAAATGAAAAGGTTTTCCATGATTTCTATGCAGCTGCAGCCATTGAAAGATGAGGTGAACTGCTGAATGCAAAGGATTGTGGTTTCATTTTCCCTTCACCTTCCTTTTCTCCAACTGCCTCCCCTCTTTCCTTCTTTTCTTTTTATTCCCCAAGTTCTTTCTCTGTTCCTCTCCCCCACTTAGGGTTGCCAGGTCTGGGTTGGAAAATACCTAGCGCTGCCAAGTCCCCCCGTAGGGTTGCCAGGTCTAGGTTGGAAAATACCTGGAGACTTTGGGGGTGGATCCGGGAGAGGGTGGCGTTTGGGGAGGGGAGGGGCCTCAGCGTGGTACAATGCCATAGAGTCCACCCTTCAAAGCAGCCATTTTCTCCAGGGGAGCTGATCTCTGTCAGCTGGAGATCAGCTGTAAAAGTGGGAGATCCCCAAGCCCCACCTGGAGGCTGGCAACCCTATCCCCCCGGGGGCGGAAATCCCCCCGCCCCAGAGGCCCGTTCCCCGACACCGGGGAATTGGGCCCCGGGGGGAACCCTGCCCCAGCGTGCACGTCACAGGGAAGTGACGTTATGACACCGGGCACGCTGGAGGCGGGGCCACAGCCATACAAGGGAAAACTCTATGGTTTTCCCTTGTATGGTCGTGGCCCCGCACCCAGCGTGCCCGGCATCATGACATTACTTCCCTGTGACGTGCATGCCGGGCGCGCGCCGGGATCCGCACTGGAGTCCTTCGCCAGCAAGGTAAGTGCCACTTGGCAACCCTAAAAATACCTGAAGACTTTGGGGGTGGATCCAGGAGAGGGTGGGGTTTGGGGAGGGGAGGGGTCTCAGCATGGTACATTGCCATAGAGTCCACCCTTCAAAGCAGCCATTTTCTCCAGGGGAGGAGATCAGTTGTAAAAGCGGGAGATCCCCAGGCCCCACCTGGAGACTGGCAACCCTACCCCACTTCATTTCTTTTTATTTCCCTTCTGTATTTGCTGTTGTTGTTGTTCTCAGTGAGGATGAAGGTATCGTGTTGGTTTTGCCTCATGCGGAAGCCATGTGGGGTTTGACACTCACTATTCCCTCTCAAAATTCCAAAGGTCCCCATGGGCTCAAAAAGGCTGGGGAGGACCCCTGCTGTAACCACTATATGGCACTGGCTCTCTTTTGAGGACAAGGCCAGCCTCTTCAAGACACTATGATGTTGTGGATTGGAACTCACAGAATATTTAACTCACAGTTTGTGATGGGGAATCTTCCATTCCTATCTCTTCACCATAATATGTAGTGGGTGTTCCAGGAAGGGTTAAAAGAAGCATATTCATGACATTTATGTATTCCTTTCCAATCCGAGAGGCGATGCGAACATTGTTAGGATCTCCAACCTAAAATACAAAGGAACTTATTTTATAATAATAATAATTTTTAAAAGAACCTACTGAGGGGCTAGATATGAGACCAGGTTATCAACCCCATAAAAGCCACAGTGGCCATAGATAAAGGTTTCCCTTGCTCAAAAGCCAGTCGAATCTGACTCTAGGAATGCAGTGCTCATCTCCGTTTCCAAAGACATTTCCGTGGTCATGTGGCCGGCATGACTAAACACCGAGGCACACGGAACGCTATCACGTTCCCACCGAAGCAGTACCTATTTATTTACTTGCAATTTCTTGCTTTTGAACTGTTAGGTTGGCAGGAGCTGGGGCCAGAGACAGGAGCTCACTCCATCAGGCGGCACACTTGGGTCTCGAACTGCTGAACTACCGACCTTCCTGTCAGCAGTTCAGCGTCTTAACCACTTGAGCCACCGCAGCCCTTTTACAGTGGCCATACCTTACAACAGAACACAGTGATTGTTCAAACTAATGAAGCTGGCATTTACAGTGAGGTAAGCATTTTTAAAAATTGTCTATATTCTAACGTATTCGGGTAGATTATAGCTCTTAGGGGGAAAGGTTCGTTCATAATTTTATTATATTGACTGAGTACTTACATGCTTTTTAATCACACCATTCGATGTTTGAAATAAAGTATTTTAATATTGCTTTCCTCTAAAAGAGATTTCACTACACGCAGAGAAAAGGGAATAAATTGTTCTAAGGTCACTAAATACAAAGGAACAGTCTTGTCAGAAGAAGTCTAATTATCAAAGCTAAAAACCTCGGTGCAATAAAATATTAAATCTGAACAGCAGGGTACCTTATTTTATTACACAAAGGCACAGAAAGGAGCACAGATGGACAAATAACAGCATCATTCTGATTATTAAGAACTTGTCCAGTATCATGCTGGATTGTGTGGCACAGGAGTGTATTTGCCACATTCTTTAGTGGCTTATGGCTTGAATGGGGATCTTCTGTGATCCTCTCACTCCTCTTTGCTTCCCTCCCAGTCCTGTCAGTGCTAAGCCAGTTTGGTGTAGTGTTTAGGAGTGTGGAGTCTAATCTGGGAGAACTGGGTTTGATTCCCCACTCCTCCACATGTAGCTGCTGGTGTGACCTTGGATCAGTCGCAAGTTCTTTCAGAGCTGTTCTCTCAAGGGCAGTTCTCAAAAGAGCTCTCTCAGCCCCACCTGACTCACATGGTGTCTGTTGTGGGGAGGAGAAGGGAAAGGAGACTGTAAACTGCTCTGAGATTCTTTTGGGTAGTGAAGGGTGGGGTGTAATTTCAATTTCCTCCTCTTCTTCTTCTTCAGCTGTCAGTTCCCAGCTGTCATTTCTTGACACTCTTCACAAAATTCCATTTGAACAGGTTGTCAATCAAAGTTTCTCAGACTCTGTGAGGCATTAACCCTTGGTAGTCTATTACATATGTCATCCTGACTCCTTAGAGGAAGGGGGTGGGGGCAGATAAATTAATAGATAAATAAAATGAGCAACAAAAGTTCTGTTGTGTTAGGTGTTGTGTGAGGTGTAAACCCTCTGGATCAGAAGCTTACCACCCAATTTGGCCATTTCCCTTGTGGCATATTCTTCATCCATGCAGCTACCATTTCAAAAATGTTACTTCCAGAGACTTCTGTTATGTTCATGAGCAACAGGTTAAAAGGGAAATCTGCTTCTTGAATAAAAGGTGTCCCATAATACATCATAGTTCCTTCAATACTCTCTTTATCATTGGCTCCTGTGCCCATAAATCTTCAAAAGAAAAGACATTTTGTAACATTAACAAAAATATAGCCAGTATTATTAACTTTAATATAGCAAAAACAAAATTAAAAAATGTGCCTGGAATAGATCACAAAATACATATTCTTTATTTAACATCCCTTTGGATCCAGGCCATGACTTAATTTGTTATATGATAAGGAGTTTTCCCAGCAAGTTCTAACAAGGCAGTAATTGTTAATAAGCATATCAGTGAGTCACAAGTGAGGACCCACAATACTTGTGGGGGGATCTCTCCCCCCCCATCTTTCCCAACCACACACCAATGGCAATGCTGCTGGGACTGCTGTGGCTCCTGCCCACCATCACCACCAATAGTGATGCCACTGGGCTCACCATGGCTCCCAGCCACCCACACACACAGTAGCAATGATGCCAGGTCCACCACAGCTCCTGGCCATCCCAACAACTACAACAACAATGCTGCCTGGCCACCACCTACCATTGCCACCAATGCAGCAGGGTCCGGTGCACCTCCCACCTTGTTTAAAAGTAAACTATCGATTTAATTATCAATTTAGGCTTGGCTGGGTTTATATACAAGCCCAGCTTTTATCTCTGAACCCCTTTCTCTTGTCAAAACATGTATGAACCAATACCAGCTGTTAGCAAGTCCTATGTCAAAATGAAGAACTGATTGTACTGGGCACTGTCTTGTAAAATGAAAAACTCTCAAAATAAGGGAATGGATAATTATTACTTGAATTTGCATTATGATTGGATGTTCAGCTGTCTGTATCAATGTGTTTTTACTTGTGAGTTGCCTTCAGCAGGCCTAGAGAGGTGGCATATACATTTCCTAATCAAATAAACATGTTTTAATTTAAAAGAAGCTGTAACAGCTGTAAAATATTGAGTAGGGGATAATCCCTTGCCTATTCCTGGACAGACGGTAAACTGGCCATTTAATGTGGCTGGCCTACTACATGCAACCCTCATGCAAACAATCTTGCCCAACTCTCTATAGTTTTGCTCCAATAAATACAGGGGGCAGGAAAGCACATTTGCTCTTACCTCTTAACATTTTCAGACTGTTCCCTGGGTGGCTTTTAACAGCTAATCAGATAATAAGCTAATCAGATATTAAGAAATTGCTACATGATCATGTTATCACAGTATTCTTACCTGTATCTACCAGGCTCACTGCTGAATTTATCCATGGTGTGTCGAAAACTACGGACTATATCATGCATGCCAACCTGGGTGGTGGTATAGTCGTGATACAATTCAGAATAGGCAGAAATGCTGTCCTTGAAAAACAATTTGTCATTAATATTCTGGACAACTGCTTTTTCAAATAATTTCAATAGACAGACGTATTAAAAATGACTGCTGCTCAGAACATATGTGCATTTTTCTGTGATTGTTGTCATAATCCATTCAGATTTGTGCACTGATTTGGAGGCAACGCCTTGTAAAATGGATATGGTGTCAAGGCTATCCACATAATAGAAGGTTTCCGGTAACGGCGCTGTGACGTGGAGCGGCTTTCGGATCGCTTCAGAGCCACCCACTCCTCCTCCACTCTTTTGGAGCCCCCCTTATCTCAGGTGGGCCCCGATCGTTCTCCTGGAGGGGGAATGAGTTGCAGGGGGCTTGTTTTTTGGGGGGCCCCACATACGGCAAATGTGGGGGTGTGGTGGTTATTGCCCTGAAGCGAGAGCGATAGACAGAGCAAGGCATGGCCGCCATGCCGCCATGCCTTGCCTAACAGCGACCTCCATTTTAACTTTATTGCTTTCTTCATTTTGAATGTATACAGCAACATTGGGACTGTGAGTATGCATATTTCTAACTCTATTCATAGCCAAGATTTCGGACTTTGAGATAAAGTTACTCTGAGTTGGTCTGCCCAAGATAAAGGCAATTAGCGGCCAGACAAGGAATGTGGGAAAGA